ACTTAAACACGATGAATCAGATACTTGCATCATTGTATTTATAGTAGCACTCTTCACAACAGTCAAAATACGGAATCAACCAAGGTGTCCATCATCAGATTGATCACATGATCTTCCTTTAATATGGTAGCTAAAATAAAGGAAGATGAGGAAAAAAGAATGAAGTGGTAGCAGAGAGAGGGAGGCAGAGAGGGAAGGAGAAGGGAAAGAGTGCCTGTGTGTATTAATATTGCTAATGAAATGTTGTGAAACTCTGTCTTATACCTCTGGCAAACCAATGGTTAAGAATGTTATACTGCTGTAGTGTTAAGGATCTGTGATTGGGTGAAATTGTCATTATTCCATTCAATTTTTGTCTGTAGCTGTCATCTATATGTCCACTAAGTGAGGGTCTTTCTGTTTTTCTAATTCTTAAACTTCATATTTAGTGAAATAATAACCTTTTTACTATGACATAAATTTCAAATGTTACCTCAAAAACAAAACAAAGCAAAAAACCGAATGAACAAAAAACTGGGGCTAGTGCCTGGTGAGGTGAAACTTCTGCCTACAGCGCTGGCATTCCTATGGTCACCAGACTAGTTCGTGTCCTAGCTGCTCCACTTCTGATCCAGCTGCCTGTTATGTCTTAAGAAAGCAGAAGAGAAAAGTTCAGGACTTTTGGCCCTTACAATCACATGGGAAACCCAGAAGAAGCTCCTGGCTTTGTGTTGATCAGCTGCAGGTGTTGTGGCCATTTGGAGAGTGACTAGGAGATGGAAGATATTCTCTCTCTCATCCTCTTTCTCTGTGACTTTGCCTAGAAAATAAAAATAAATACCTTAAAAAACTTAAAAATACAAAGGGAGTAGAAAAGCAAGTGGAAGAGAGAAGGGAATATCATTATGTTCTTAAGAACTGTGTCTAGTTATATTGAACCTGTTATGAACTAATTAAAATTTAAAAATTTACTTGATGCATCACCACTGTTTCCCAAGGTCTGCATTACTAAAATGCTGGAGTCACTGTCCAGATGTGGAGACATAGTGCAGCATGCCTCTCTGCATCCAGACCAAAGATATTCTCTTAGTAAAACAGTTGAAAATATTTTAACACTAGGATCCTGGACTCTCTGAAATGGTCCATGCCTACAATGTCAGGAAACACTTCAATAGCAGAATGATGGACTTATGACTGTTCATGAAGGACCACCCATTGTAATACTAGAAGGGAAATCGGAGAGGGGAGGGGTTTGGGAAAATCCAGAGCCTATGTAACTGTATCATAAAACAGTTTTTTTTTTTTTTAAATGCTGTTATCAGGAGCCAGAGCTGGGAATTGAACCCAGACACTCCAGTTTAACTGCTGGGCTAAATCCCTGCTCCCAGAGTGTCTAAACATGTTCCAATTTATTATTGTCTAATATTAAAAAAATAGTATATGTATCATATAAACCAGTTCCATGAGAAAATATCCTATTCAAGCAATCCTGCCTGGTAGCAATCAATTGGAATCATGTAGCAACTTTGCTTTCTAGATGCATTCTATCCTATACAGTTTGTCTCAATTGTTTTTTCAGTGTATTAAAACATAATTAGGCTCCTCAGGGCATTTTGGTCCATTGCTACTTACCAGAGGGTAACAGATGGCATTCTAGTTCAGAATTATCAAGTAGTATCAGTATTCAAGGAGTGTGTGTGTGTGTGTGTGTGTCTGTGATCATTTTCTCACGACTGTAAGTTCTGCCAAAAGTATTTTGTAAGTTTTTGAAATTTAATGCTAAGGAAAAAGAAAAAAATAGTCAGATTTTGACAGTCGCTATCTCCAAATGGGAATTAATATGAGAGTTTCTTCCTCATATACCATTTGATAGGATGTTCCAAGTTTTCTAAAATAGTATTTATAGAGTTACAGAAAGAAACAGGGAGTGTGTGTGTGTGTGTGTGTGTGTGTGTGTGTGTATGTGTATGTATGTATGAGTGTGTGTGACAAAGAACCCCAACCACTGGTTCACTCCCCAAATGGCCATGCAAATGGGCCTGGGTAAGACTGAAGTCAGAATCCTGGAACTCCATCTACTTCTCCCACATGGGTATAGGGACCCAAGTATTTGAGCCATCTTCTGCTACTTTCCCAGGTGCAGTGGCAGGGACTGTGAGTGGACAGCTGGACTTGAACCCATTTTCTTGTGGGAATTTCAGATGGCAGTTTCAGATGGTAGCTTATTTCACTGTGCCACATTGCCAATTTCTAACTTTTCTTTAAAAAAAAAGTAGTATTTCTTCTATAGCTTGAGACATTCATTACAAATAAGACGTTCAATCTCTTTTATTTTTTTAGAGTCTGAGCATCTAAATGAAAGAAATTTATACATATTCTAGCTAGAGTTTTCTAAATACATTCCGGTGATTCCTTCAACATCAACAGAAAGATTCAGTGAGCCAATATATGCTGAAATATGTTGAATATTTGCAGTGTTAATTTGCACAGTACGAGCTTAGGAAGTTCTATAAAAATATTTAACTTCCCAGACCTTTTTTAAGATTTATTTTTAGTGGAAAGTCACATATACAGAGAAGAGGAGAGACAGAGAGGAAGACCTTCCATCCATTGATTCACTCCCCAGGCGGCCACAATGGCTGGAGCTGAGGCAATCCAAAGCCAGGAGCCAGCAATCTTTTCTGGGTTTCCCAAGCAGGTGCAGGGTTCTAAGGCTTTGGGCCATCCTTGACTGCTTTCCCAGGCCACACACAGGGAGCTGAATGGGAAGTGGGGCTGCTGGGACTAGAACCAGTGCCTATGTGGGATCCTAGCACATGCAAGGTAAGGACTTTAGCTGCTAGGCTATTGTGCAAGGCCCAACTTTCCCAAATTTTTAAAATATTCATCACTGTTGAATCTTCACTAGTGTATCATGGGAGCATACTTTGGTAAATGTTGACACAATCCAACCCTAGAACACCAAATTTATGTACAAATAGCTTGTTAAAGAACTGCAGAAAAGAACAAAGAACAAAAGAACAAAGAACTGCAGAAAAACCCTGCAAACTCTTTATGAAGACCTTATTGATCTCCTTTCTTCCATTATATATTACAGAATCAGATAACACTCAGTTATACTGTTTTTGAATATGTGTGTGCATATGTTTGCTGTTATGTGTTATATATATAGTATTTATTATCCACACTGTACAGTGAACATATTCATATATAATGTATATATAATGTTTGCTGTTATGTGTTATATATGTAGTATTTATAATCCTCACACTATAGGGTGTATTCTACCCATTCTTAGAGGAGAAGATTTGGGATGAATCTACTGAAAAATTCATCACATTCTGATAAATTGGTACATATTCCTTAGGGTTGCTCTAAGGATTCAGTATCAATTATATAATCTGTCTATTTTTTTTTTAGCTTAAAGTAGACTCTAAATTCAGAGGACCCAGCATTATGGTACAATTGGCTAATCTTCCACTTGTAAGCATCAGTATTTAATATGGGCACCAGTTCGTGCCCTGGCTGCCCCACTTCCCAACTAGCTCCCTAGGAAGGCAGTGGAGGATGATGCATGCCTTGGGCATCTGCACCCACATGCAAGAACTGGAAGAAGCTCCTGCTTCTGGGTTCAGTAGACACAGCTCTGGCCATTGCAGCCATTTGAGGACTGAACCAGAGCATGGTTTCTCTCTTTTCTGTAAATCTGCTTTTCTAATAAAAATAAATGTATCTTTTAAAAAAGAAATAAACCCAAAATATGCAAATATAATAGATTTAATCTAGATCTATTCAATTAATTAATGGAAATGTTAAATTTCTGATAATATTGGGCCATATTTTAATAATGGCATCATCATATTATATAATGATGAAAGTTAAACTAAGAATTATAAAAGGAACAGCCAATATTGGAGTACAGTAAATTTAACTAGATGACAGAGCAGTGGTTCCTTTGACTGTATGCTAATAGATTACTTGTCTGGTAGCAGTACACTAGCTATCCATATTAATTTCACATAACTGATGAGTATCAGCAGATTAGATCTCTTTTAAAGATGTATCTGTACTGTTCTCTAATTTGATTACTTATTTAACTTTGTAAAATATTTTGAACACTACATAAAGCATAAAAAAAGAGTCCAGTGATTAAAATAGATCAAATAGACTTAACAAGTTTTAAGTATGGCATATTCACTTCGTTTAGAAATATATACATACATATCATTTTTCTTGATAGCAAGGGTATTTATGACAAGAATGATAAAAGTTATATAATGACAAAAGGTTATATTTTGTTATAAGAGGTGTAACTCAGTGGAGACAACACTTATAAGTGTCTATATACCAAGTAATTTGTCATTGAAACAACTCTTTGTGGCAGAAAATGTGAATTTGTCATTTTGTATCTTTCCTATTTAAGAGCTTAATGCCCTCTAATTTTGTTTTGCTGCAAATGTCAGGATGTTTTTTTTTTTAAATAAAATTGTATTATGGTTTTGGTAAGTTTTTATCATTTTATCCAGTTATTCATTGGTGGACATCTAGGTTGATATTGTGTTTTTTCTATTGTGAACAATATTTTCCTTGAGAGACAAATCAGAGTATATTTCATTTCATAGAAAAGTGTAAATCAGGTATGTATTCTGCAGCTTGGCTTAAACAGCTTAAATTTACAGCATCACCTCATGCTGCAGTGATCTTTTCTCCATAAAAATGAAAACTTCGATTAAAAATTTCAGAGGCTCATATCTGGGAAGAATCATAAGATAATAAAGAATTACAGTGTTAGTGCATCTTTGTTCTTTAACCTGTGTTTTTTTTTTTTACATAAAAATTCCAGCTACTTTAATGTTGTTAGTAGGAGGAAAGAAATACTGCATAACATAAACTGAGCACTCAAATGACCTTAATGCAGAATTCTAAGAATTTATTCCAGGATAATCTGAACCTTTTCAGTCTTTTATTGTTAGATATTTTAATATTTTATTATTAATCATGCTTTTGAATTGATTTGACAGGTCCACCAAGACTCATCCAGGGCCAGTTGTACATTTAAGTGATAGTCCAAGAGATGAAGGGAAAGTGAGTATTGTAATACTATTCTTGCTTTTGTTTGCCTCTTTCTTGAAAGAAAGAAGTGTTTCTTGCTATTATTTTATACCCAACATCTATCCCAGTTCACAGAATTTCGTGCTATTTAAAAATTGAAATTTACTGAACGAATGAGTAAATGAATGAAAAACTTATTCTAATTACAGTTCCAAGTTAAACATTAAGCTAAGGTTGGTATTTAGTTGTGGAAGTTTAAGGAAATTGAGCTATAAAACAACTTTGATTTTCAGATATCTTGTTTTAAACCAGTATTATGACTACCAAAATTATGTGTTTCTTGCTCAGTTTTGATACTGATAAGTAATAACATAGCAGTCTTAAATTTATAAATATGTAGCAATTGGAAAAATTCATTATACAGAAAATTCTTGCCTTGATTATAGCATAATTTTTCCTTGATAGTGAGGGAATAAAGTTGATATATAACAGGAAAATATCTAAAGTACCACTATCATCATAAATAATATTTATCTTCACATGTATATTTTTTACTAAGCACTATAAAAAACATGAATTTGAAACTGATGGAATAATTCATATTCCTTAAAACTGGTCTATAAATAGAATATTGGTCCAATGAAGTGTCATTGAAGTTTTTTAGAGAACTCCAAAGCTTATTTGCAAATTCATCAAAAAGTTTTAAATAGGCAATATTCTTAAAAAGAAATGTAATATTAAGACTTGCACAAGATGATCCATAAATCCAAATAGATATTATGAACTGTTTCCAGAAGTTGAAAGAATTTTGTGTTTTAGAAAAAGTATTTTAGGACATTGTTAACTATTGAATACAAATATTGGACATTTTGCCATCCATTTTGAAAAGATAGTCAGCCTTTACATCATAACGTTTGCAGCAATAAATTATGATGCAGATAAAATATAGACATCAAAAATCACCATTCAGAAAGTATTTTAAGAATATTATAGTGTGTGATTGTTGATGTGTATTAGGGACACTTTTGGATTAAGACTTAGAATCTAAAGCATTCCCAAATAATTCTAGTAACACATAGACAGCAAAGTTGGAGACAATATTTGTTACATAACAGGCACAATAAACATGAAGAATACATATAATTCTTAGAAGTTTACTGTCTTGGTCTTTTATAATAACATCAATAGATAATGCCCACATTAAGATCAGGAGATATCAACATGGATATATTTATATGTTGGAAAATAAATTTACCAGAAACATGGTTTAAGAGTTGAAGATGTGGGTGTCTCTCCATTTCTGGAAATCAGACTTTCACATTTTTATTGCTAATGTATCAAATGTAATAGGTTGTTCTTGGTAATCAGATTAGGGAAATGCTGAACATTAATAATACTAATAATACTAAGATTATGAAGCAATAAGAACTGATGGGGGGAGACTGGAAAGTAGAATTTGGGAAAATGTTAACCATCAAGTTTTCTTGTGCTATTCAGAATTTTATGAAATAATGGAGTATATGCTAATCATATAATTAAAATTAAAAGACTTGGAAAATAAATGAAAGCATTAGAACCATGACATGCACTAGAATTGTCCCTCTAATCCTTATTAGCACGTGATTCTGAATGTTAATTTTAAAATCAGTTTTTTCATTAATAGTTGTTTCACACATGGATATTTTAAAAATTTTACTGTATTCATTTTTATTAGTGCTTTCATTTGATTCCTGCTTCTTATTTAGTATATCTTTCCTTTGCGAGAGAAAATGCAATATTATTTTTCTATCAGTTCTAAAACTTTGAATTTTGCATTTAGGTTTAAATCTAGATGTAATTCTTATATAGGTTTAGTATAGTGGTATATTTTTATTTGGTACATATAGTATTTATTGGGTAGTGAATCCATTTTCCATGGATTTTAAGACACCCCAATCATATATAAATATCTCATATTTGGGTGAGTTTTCTGGAATTTCTATTACTTTGCATTACTATTTTATTAATGAAAATAAACTTGTAAAATACATGGACTCTGGCAAATTGATTCCCTTTCGGCTAAGTGATTCTGGCTATTTCTAAGCCTTTATTCTAATATTCTCTTTTTTTCTGAACAGCATATTGAACTCCATGCAATTTCCTTTTAGGATTTTATTTGAAATTTGCATTTATAGAAAATTTACATGTTTAAGATACTGGTATTCCATTATGAGAATTTTGTATTTACTGTGACTTTTCTTTGTGTTTCTCTACAAAACTTGTTTTCATAAAACTTATAAATCTTTTACTAGATTAACATAGATTGATTGCCCTTGACTGAATCTTATAAATCAGCTTTAAAATATTTTATTTAGTGACATAACTGTGTATTTTTTTCAAATAGATGTTCCTAGAGCCTGTGAAATACCCTGCATTAAACTCATAGAGAATAGAGACAAATTTTGTTTTTGCCTTTGTAATGTTTACAGTCATATATCTTACCATTGTCCTGAGGCATTATTGAATGTTAATGATGTTAATGAGAACTTTTTGGTGTTTCCAGCATTGGAGGAAGCACCTCCAAGATTTCGAAAGCAAGCTAATTTTTTTTTTTTGCCTGTCTTTGATTGATTGGGTTTATAATGTCAAACAATTTCCAGCTATTTCCACTGTTCTAAGAATTTTAAATTATGAATGATACTGAATTATATTAAATACTTCTCAACATTTATCCATGTAAGTATTGATTTTTTAAAAAATTCTTGAAATAGGTCAACAAATTTGCTAATTTTAAGTATTGTACTTTTGATATATATACAACTTGGAAGGGGAAAGCTTTTCTTGGAATTTATCAGTAAAGTGAAAGAAGGAACAAATTACTGAAGTTAAGTTTACTATGGAACCAAGATAGTATCACAAAATCAGAAGATATACAGTCCTTTTCCCAAATGTTTGGAGAAGGAAAAAGCTGTGTATTAGTTGGCCAACTAAGCAAGTGTGCTCTTGGATTGAGAGATATCTGTTCTGAACAGAGAAATGAGTATATATTTTCAGAAACTCTCAGCATTGCTTCTTCCCATTCTCTGAACTGTTTTGTGTACCTCATGTCTGGCAGTTAATCAGCTTTGTACTTTCACAAGGTTAATGTTCTGAAATTGATTAGCTATGCCCAGATCTTTGACTCCTGCTATTAATTCTGTATTCACAATATGCACCACAACAAGAGGCAAGTGATCTGATTTCTTTAACAATCACATAGATCAAATGACATGACTTGAAAGTGATAAAAACATTGAACAGGATCAGACAAAAAATCAATTCTTCCTCCCTGTTATTGAATTATTTTGAGACAGGGCTTTTTTCTTGGAAGCTGCTAGAGCTATTCTGTGAGTCCATGCTGATAATACACCTGCTAAGTGACTTAATATTGTTCCTTCATCTCTCCATAAAATTTGTGGTTAGTGTGCTAGTGAGTTATTTTCATTTTGCTTCTTTTCCTTATATTTCCTTTACTGTTAGAAGCCTGAGATTTTACTTCTGTGTGAAACACTAGCACTTAACATTGCCTCAGGCTTCCCTTCCCCTTGTTTACAGAATGATGGTTAAATTAATGGTTACCACAGTTGTAGTACATTATAAGGATTAGAAACTAAGCCCAAACTGGTTTGATACCTATGGTTGTGAAAGAACATATTGGACCCCACCCATGCTGATTAGATACATTGCAAATGAGTGCTTTCTTGTTATTAGAGCAGAGTTTACAGTTATGACAGACTACTTACTTACCATGTCTGGAATATTTAGTACCTAGACTTTTGCAGAGGAAATGTGTTGACTTTTATTCTAAATTTTAGACCCTTGGGATCTAATTTTTGAGTTGGATTTTTTCTGTCTAAAATCAAGAACTTTTTGAAGATGTCAAGAGGAGAGATATTAAACCCTGTTATGTTGTCACATCACAGTTACTTGAGATAAGATTGCTAGAAAGATAAGACAATGAGAAATCAAGTAGGTTGCTTGACCCATGCATCTTCAGAAGTCTCCAGGAGAGGATCCTACCTTACCTCAACTAGCTCCTGATACACCCTCATGTGTGATAGTATAACCCTAGATGCCTCTGTTTTCGTGACTCTGTCTCTGTTTTCTCTTCTTACAGGGGTACCAATAATTGAATTAATTTCCCACCCTAAACCCAAATTTCTTCTTAAGATCTATATTAGATTATATCTGCAAAGATCCTATTTCCGAAGCAGGTCACATTCTGAGTTCCTGGGTAGACAGGACATTTTGGAGCTGCGATGGGGAAATTTGTATACAGAAGTGTGAAAATGTAAAATGCCTACTTGACCAGTAGAATTACTGTGTCCATCTTTTAGAGGGTGAATATTTTTTTTTTACGAGAAGACTATAATGGCATCATTTGACATCATTTCTTTGTATGTTATTTATATTCGTAAGACTCAAGAAGATGGAAATATTAAAATAGATACAACATATTTTTCCTGACTTCACCTGCAGTTTCATTGCATTCTCTAGGGAAATTCTAAAAACTGTCTTCATTTAACCTAAACAAAAGTGCTCTAGAAGGACCTGTAAGAGCATATTTGAGAAACTTGGAAGTGGTTATCCTTTTTAGGATAACCAAGTATAGGTCAGTGAGGACCCCCCCTGCTGAGACACTGCTCCTGCTGGTGAGAACTGGGACCAGGAGCAGACCAGGCTAGGCAGGGCTACAACACCCATTGGCCTGCATGTGAGCTGGGTTAGGGAGAGAGCCAGGCTGGGCTAAGTAACCATATCCACTGGTGCAGGCATGAACCAGAGTAAGTGCAAACTGGTTGGGCTTTGCTGCAGTATCAGCTGGCAAATGCTAGGACTGGGGGCAAGTCCTGTCAAGCTAGAATGCAGAACCATCTGAAAAAGTGTAAGATCTGGAGTAAGGAAATTGCAGGCATCTAAATGATGGGCTGCAGCTTCAACTGGTGAGCATAAGAACCAAAACTAGAGGATGGGCCTAGTTGAACAGGCAGTAGCATCCGTTAGCATAAGTGTGG